TCATTTCTTTAGGAATTACGTTAAATAATTGTAGTTATATATAAATTAAACAAAAATAGCAATATCTAAAGAACGCTTATAATCAAATAACGCTTTTATTTGCTAAGATTTTAGACAGTTCAATAAAAGCTCGTAGACTTTTGAAACAAAGATGAGAAAAATTGAGTTCCGAATTTAGGACATAATATCAATGCTATTCTTTCCTACACAGAGAAACGATATTAAAAAAAAGCTCTTTTGTTAATTGGTCGCTCAAAACCAAAGGATGGGGAGATTCCCGAGCAACTTGCGAGACGCAGTTCGTCCCAAGGGATATCAAGAAAATTCTACGGATCGGAAGTCTTTCAAATATTTAGCAGCAATATCCAATTTCTCCTTCTGTATCTCCACAATTCTTCATAGTTGATTTGTCGAGGCCATCGTTCGGCTAAAGGCCATTCTCGATTGATCGCGAGGTACATATTTAATTAGAAAACCACAAAAGTCTTGTATAACAATATATAATGTTAATAAAGTTAATTTCATTAACTTTCAATCGGAATAAAATTAGTTTTAATTCTGTTATTAAACTTTAAAAAAATTTTATGAAAGAAATTAAAATAATCACAATAATATCTTATCGCATTTGTAATTAAACAAATAAAATAGTAAAGCTGCCTTTTAAGAATTTCGGAGTTACATAAAAGGTTTTCTTTGTACTCTTATTTTTATCAGGAACCTGTCAACATAACCAAGAAAGTTAAGATGTGATGCGCGCGCGAATAACTCTTTAGTAAGTTGTTGGTTTCGCCAACAGATAATTCCAGTGTGCGAGAAAATTGCGGATATCAGCGACACATAGTGGCTCGTCAATTTGGAAATGACAAGGCGGTCGGCCGCGCGGACATCGCCAAATGGAACTTCTAAATGGATAAGATATAAGAGTTAACACTCGAGCGAAAGAAGGAATTAGGTGTCTGATGTATGAGCCACCATCATCTATCCGCTTGCTTCCGATGAAGCATACGCCGTGTAAATGATGGCGACATTTTCTTCGGATCACTCCTTTAAAAATACGATAAATCCAACAAAAAGACATCAAAATACATAGTCAGTTAATGCAGAAGAAAACAGTAAAGCTTTTCTTATTCTATGCGAATTGTCAAATTATCTCTTTATTTTGTTTATTAAATATAATGTTTATTATAAATATAATATTTATTAAAAAGTGTAAAAGTCCCAAAAAATTGGTATTACCGACAAATCATATCGCGAGCTCGATAAACCGCACGACAAGGGGCATTCCTTTCGCACGAAGTTTGCAAATTCGATCTCTGCGACATAGACACGAGCAAACGCACAAGTCAGGGAAGTAGAAGTGGATGGCAGGGTGATGCATGTCCCGTGTACCAAGGGGCGAGGGGATGGCACGGAGAACGTGATCCTGTGACTGATCCGTGAAAGCGTGAAAGGGTTTCCACTCCTTTTTCCACCCCTTTATCCACTCTACGAGAACACGGGGGTGTCGCGAGGCGACGATCAATCACTCCGTGCCACAGCACCGACGCACACCTCCCTTCCCACCTAACTGACATCGCCCACAACCCTCTCCATCCACTCCCTCTTCACCCCCGTTAGGATATTCACGTAAAGGAAATTCTAAGTAATATGGCAAAAACTTTTCTCTTAAACCAAATGTATGTCTTACATGATATTTTTATAGTCGCATAGTTTATTATTACTTAAGTATTAAATCTAAAAAATAATAGGAGTCTGCTATTTTATTTTATTATAATACACATACGCGCGAGCGCATATTTTTGCAATTATTAATATGCAAACAGAGTACATCAAAATTGTTCCAAAATTAAGTTCAAATTAAGTCCAACAAACAATTGCTCATTTATCACAAATGGTATATTAATTTTTAATTAAATAGAACATATACTTCGAAAATATATAATGCTTGATGAAGCGTTTTCTTCGGCAAAATATCGGCGAGTATAAAAGAAAGAAAAAAGAAAGAATAAACGCTAAACGGCGAGGAAGAGAAAAAGGGCAGTGAGCAAATGGCGATTAAGGATCGTAGGGAAGCGAGCACGCACTGGAAAACGTAGGTCAAGATATCCAGTGCCGCTTTTACGGGCCGTGTCCGTGTCGGGAGATACTAAAACTAATGTATTCATGAGATAATTATTTCTTGCATTCATTACGGGGCTGTAAAGTTTTTATTGGACGCTGGTCGGGCTGGTAAAGTTCGAGGCATCTTTACAAAGTTAGAAACGACTCGCTCTCTCGGTCGCCTCTTTCTTCTATTTCATGCAGCCCCGTTTACGGCACGTTTAAGGACAGTTTTTAGTCCCGGATCCCACCGATAACCAAAACTCAAACAAGTTAGCGATATCTGGAATGCTAAAAGCATTCTTCAGTAATGTTTAATCGCCCGAGCAATATTTTGATGGTAATGTACGCAACGGAAGAAATGCGAAGTATTTCGTCCTTGCATCCATTTTACATACTTTGCTGATTAATTTTAAAAATCTCATCGTAATCTCAACAAATACACAAATATTATATCATAATACAACAAATATAGAGAATTATGCATTTAATTTAAATATTAAAAGTATATTTATTATTGCAGCTTGCTTTTAAAAGAAAAGCTGATATCAAAAATTTAATGTTGCTTCTCATATGGATTTCATATAATATCAAAACAATTTTGCGATCACACAGTCCCTATATCTATGATATAAAAATTTTAGTGTTCAGTATACATGTTTTTAACATTTTTCCTAGAATTTTTATTTTATACATTATCATGTAATAAGTTCATTGTAAGAGCTTTTTTCTTGTCTGTGTCTGCGGAGCTTTGTTTATCGTTTTAGCTGTTTATATAAAGTTTCTATTTTTATAAAGCATAGAATCGAAGAGTTCGTATAATAAAACGTTTCTCCCGCGCGGATGATAAAATCGTTCCCTCTCTTAAAACACAGGGATAGTACTAATGCCGCACGAAAGAGTGATTAATTGGAAGCGCGGCGCCGCGCACAGGAATATCGACGACAGCGTGGCTTGTCGGAACGAAGAGCCTTATTCACCTTTGTACATCCGCCAATTATATCTCTTTAATTAGAATCACTTCCGCGCAACACCGTCTCAGACATTAAATAATAAAGAGATGCTCGTTAAAAATTTTTTCACTCGCGGCCCGCCGTTTTTTCTTCCGCGCTTTAAATATGCAAATCGCGACTTAATGGGTAATCAAAGAGTTCGGCGGAATTACGCCGCTCTACGATGTCTACTTCATTAAGCGTCTTTACGGTTGAAATTCTTCTTTCTTCATCCCCCGCCTTCATTATCAAAGTAGACACCGCGACCATCCTTTTGTACAATTCCAATATGCCGCTTATCGATACCTATATTATCGATATTATAATCGCGATCGTTATCATTTATTATATTTTGATGATATCGTATTATGACGTATAATTATAAAAGCGTATTTGTAATACATTTAGCTTAAATGTATAACAATATATCAACATATTACATAGTATTTATATTAAAATTTTACATACAGAAGGTCTCATACTTCCGATTATTACAAATTTCTATGACAATCGTTAATAACAAATTCTGAAATCAGTTTAAAATACAATTTCAATTTCTAAAAGTAATGTTTATTCGTAATAAATGCAATTTTCTTGAACATACTGGAAAGTCAAATAACAAAAAAATTGAAAAATATCTGACAGTCTAACTTGTCGCCACCCATTAGATGTTCTTTGGACATCTTTTGGACTTTTGCGTTGCTCGAAAGTTTACGAAGAAACTTGCTTAAAGATTTCGATCCGATTCAACTTACGTTCTATTAAACTCCAACATCGCAATCGAAGATTCTTCTCATACTGATACTCTTCTAGTATTATAGAATCAAGAAACAGTAAAAAGAATGTAACACGAGTGATGGTAGAGGCTGTCCCAGAAGGATATAGGCGCCAGTAGAATATTAACAACTTTGCCTGGAGTCCTGAAGAAAGGGCATTATTCCTTTCTGTACTATCGCTAAGAGAAATATATCAATTTCTCTGTCGTGTAAAAATGTGCTTATGCGTTGCGTACGGGGAATAGAAAACATTATTTTATGGAATTTTCCATGTCCTGGCGCTGACTGCGAAATATGCCAACATTCGGACAAGGGAAGAAGAAAAAAGAAGAACAGAAATGGAAATAAAGATAAAAATAATAAAATTTTCTTTTCATTTTTCATTTTTCTGTGATCGCTCGAAAAATTCTAATAATTTTCCATTACTTTTTCATCAACGCAATCATTAATTTTAAAATCTCTTGATTCTTTTCTATATTGTATGACATTTTTTTATATTATATACGTAAACAAACATATTTAGGGGTATTGGTGAGGGATTAGGGAGTTTTTTGTACGAAAAATGAAATCAACTGACCCTTAAAGGCTTGAGATTTGAGAATCGACATAAAGAAACGGAAATTTCCAATGCGCAAGGGAGAGACGATAGTACTAACATACGGAGGCAGAATCCGGAAGAATGGAGTTGACGGTGCGAAAATGATGAAGACCGGAACCGGAAATGAAGCTCATCGTTATATATTACTCTGACGTCAATGAAAAAAGCGGAAATGTACGAACAATATAGCTCACGTGGCAACTTTTCTAATAATAATTTGTAATAATATTTATTGTTTAGTTTTTATATCACAAAATGATGAAAAAAATGTCATGTCATAAAATTGCATAAAAAATCAATTTTGTACAAAAACATACCCTTATATGTTTGCACGTTAAATTAAAAATTTGATATTTTTTGAAGTATTTCTCTCTAATTTTAATAAAAGAATATAATTTTAAACAGATAAGAGACAGAGAAATGTTTCTAAATTTATTTAAATTTTCTTGATAGATCTTCTTGATTCATCCAAAATTTTAAATAAATGGAATGTATATCCTAACATGCACTTCTCTTGCAAGTCGTGTTACTCACCGAAAGGATGAGGGGAAGACTGGAGAAATCGGATTTTCCTGACGCGAGAAGCGCTAAACGAAAGAACGATCGATGCCGTGGGCGCAAACGTCGAGACACGAGATTTTCGCACGTGTTCACAGGCCTGTCTGTGCGATTCCTATAATCCCACGCCGCCCGCACTCGAGCTTTCGTTTCTCCCTGTAAAAAAAGGAGAGCGGAATTGAAATCGGCTTTCCGAAATTGCGCACCGTCCCGTAAGCATCCCTAGGGAGAGAAATGCAAACACACCTACACGCCGAATGCGTGGTCAAAGAAGAAGGGAGACTATAAAAGTACGGAATTCAGAACTGAAAAAGAGATGCTTGTGTCGTCTCTCTCAAGATCCAGATCTTTGTATCTAAATCCAAGAAAAATCCGAGAGAAGCTCTGAAAAGCTTTAAGTTCAAACAAACAATCTGTATACAATGTAAGGATAAGATATAGCTTCTTTCATCAGAAAAAATGAAGTATAATACATATATTCATAAACTATTTGATAGATAAAATAAAATATAGAATTAGATATATATATTTAGATATACTTCAGTTTAGTTTTATATTGTGTATATTGTCGCAATAATGTGTAATAAATAATTATAAATATGTCTAAATAATATCTAATGTCTATAAATAATTAATATATAAATAACATTTTATATTATACATACATATGTAATGTATGTATTATTTTATTAAAAATCTTGTTATTTTAGTGAGAAAATTTAGTGAGAAAAATTTTAAAAAAATTTGTGATAAATATAAGATCAAAATTTTTAATTTTGTTCTTAAATTGAAGACTATTAAAAGATCAAACATATAAAATATATATAAAAGATTATAAAGTATTATAAATGTTAAAATGTTATGTTGTATATATTTTTAAATATATATTAAAATAAATTAACTTTATTACTACTATTTGCTAAAGATATACAATTATTTTGAAAAACATTTTACAAAGTCACTATTCATGTCATCTGTTGTAATTAAAAGGTACTATAATTATATCTGCGAAAATAAATACGTGAAAAAAATCAATTGTAGCGCCATCGTACGAACGTCATTCGAATCATATGTGTCATATTCTTAAGAATAAATCGATTTTTTCAAAAAGAATAATGAAAAAATGAAAATTATATCTATTTTTATTGAAAAACGTGTTTCTTAAAAATAAAAAATAAAGAAAACTATTTATATTAAAATAATATTTATAATAATTCTTTAAATAAAATAAATGATGCTGCAATATAATACATATAAACATAAAACTTAAATGTTTAAAAAAATAAATTGACTTACCTTTATGACATATATATATTTCACAAAACATATGTATAAATAAATAATATTATGTACCATATATCGTATTTCAAAAATTTAAAATCTGTATAACATAATTTATATTATAAAATCAAGTAAGACAGAACTATAAAAATTACTATAATAATTACAACTCATACATTATAAACTCACTAAAAACGCTATAAATAATGAGAAATATGTTTGAAATAATTGAAAAACTAGTCACACTATATGTTCTTTCACTCTTGAACTCCACCATAAAACTGACTACCCTTTTTCCTGAGGTTTATATGGAAAGCAACTGGGAATGTAAGCTCCACCCATTTCTCTCTCTCAAGAAAAATAAAAAATGTAAATCTTATTTTTTATTCTAAATTTATTACTAAAAATACTTATATGATAAAAAGATAATAATATTCCATTATGCTGCATATAAGTTATATATACACAAATTCCAAATTTACTTTGTGTTATTTCTTTAAAAATTCTTATAAATAATTACTTATATAAAATTATTTTTTTCTTTTAATGTTTTTTAAAAGAACATTTTTTATCATAAATAACATACAATTTTAACATTCAAGTACATATTTTTTATAAAAGATCTAATACAAAGGGTGATTCTTTTTACTCAAGATAGAAAGGGGTAAAACCCCTAAAAAGTGTAAACAGCTGAAGAGAATGAGGATAAAAGGAAAAGAATAAAAATATTTTCTCACTGATATTTCACTTCAATAATATATGTATAGTCAATTGAGAATAAGCAGTAATTTAAATGTTGCAGTTTTAAAAGAATATGATAAATAATATGTTTGTATAATATAAATAATATTTAATGTCTACTAAGATATGTTTAAAATATATTTAAAATATGTTAAAGAAGTATTGAAAAGAAGTATTTAAAAAAATGCTTACTGAATAATATAAAGAATGTATTGTAAAAGAAATTAATTATTCTTAGTTATTCACTTCTACAATTTAATCATATTTTAATATAAACATTAGCATAATTTTTGTGGCTAATTCTTAAAAAATTAAAAGTAAGTTTTAAATATATAATCAGAAATATATAATATATATAAGCATATATAAAGAAAATAAAATCAAATATTGATTGTTCACAAAATAATCTGTAAGTTTTTAATAAATATAAATTGTACTTGATACATGCACTTGATATATACACTTAGAATTCTTACACACTTTTAGAACTATAACTGCTTCACATGATTCTAACATCCTAACAACTACTTGATAATAGGCATACTGCGAGGCAGATTTGACAACAGCCTGTGGCGAACTGAACTACCCTTTCCATGTAGAATAGTCTGCGGGGTAGATCCAATACGATCCTGCCCAATCACAAGCAGCTCCCAACCAACCCCCAGGAGTTTATCCTCTGTAAGGAACGTTGGAGAGGGACAGCGAGCAGCAGTCTCTGGGATACCGAGCATGCTCTGACGGAGCAGTCGCAATCCCATGTATCGTATCCTATCAAGTTTGATAGAAAACAGGAGAAAAAATTGACTATCTTAATGTATATGAAGTAAAGATTGATAAATGTCTTATTAGTATCTAACTCATTTATATAACTGATAAAACCTTAGCTTAACTTATATGAAAGTACTTACATTATCTATGACATTTATTTAAATAAAAAATATAAAGATTAATACTTATAAGTCACAAAATGCTAAAGAAGTATAGTCAATACTTCTACTGCTATAGCACCCTTTTTTAGCAGCTACCCCTTTTTATGAGAAAAGGGGTGCCTGTACCCCTTTCAAAGGGGTTAAAATATAAAAGGGGGGACTATGTAATGTGGCATCAGAGAGATCTTTTATTATCAACGGGCCAAATGGCAAATTCAATAATGGCAGTTAGTAAGGTATGCCATTTTCACTGAATCTTTTTTTTTATAATCGCGAACTTTTTGACAGTTTTGTATTCATTTTTTCGAACTGTTAAATTACAAACTTCTATAACAAAAAAATTAATTTACTTTGACATATATGTTTGTTATAAAATAACACGTAATATAAACTATGTTTAATGATGGATAACTGTAAAATTAATGAAAAATATATTTTCTATCATTTTCTCTATAACCTAACTTTAATCATTTTCTTTATTTAATCTGATAAGAAATACACGAAAAAGTTGACATAATTTATACTACTTTAGTTTGAATCTCAATAAATTTGATTCACAATTTTTCTCGTAAAAATATTTTACACACACAATAAACATAACAAAATTTTAATATACTATTCTCATAACATAATGAGTAGGTTAGAATTTCAGATAGATCCACTCTTTACCCACAGAGCATGTGATCAAAAATGTAGTTTGAGTTTCGAAAGTTCACCACAATTCGCGATATAATATTGTCCTAGTACTTCCTGTTCTGAACTTCTTGTACTTTCTATCTTGTTTCTTTTTCTCTCTAATATGTAATTATGTATTTATCTCATTCTAAGTTCAGTATAGTGCAATTATGAAGAATTATAGAAATCGGATCCGTAATGGTGTGTCACGATGATCGTAATTTCGTTATTTTTTAGATAATACCTCAAATTGACTGAATATCAGTGAAAAATGACACTGTATCATTTTGGAAATTGTTTGGCATTGGTATACGTGCCATATTACCTGACTTATAAATATTCTGGCCTGTAATACTCAAAGAATGTTCTCAGTTCTAACCTAAAAATTTAAAAGACTAGATTTTGAAGAAAATTATTTTCAGATCAGAATACGGTGCATTTTGGAAATGTATTCAAGCCGGTGGTATTTATATTTTCACGCAACTCGTAAAAATGCTGGCTCTTGCCACATTTTTTCCAACTGCTGACAATATGGGAGAAGAGGGTTTTGATGTCTTTGGTGTATGTATCATCTTTTCGCAGGTTTTTATATATTATAACTTATACTATATACCTTATAAATAAAATATATATATATATATATTTTAGGAATTCTTAAAATCATCCATTGATCTAGCAGACTTGGTTGGAATTCTCTTAGTTCTAAACAGTATACCTGGTAAGGGCCATGCCAAAGTATTAACTGCTGGTATAGGATGGGCAGGAGCAGAAGTTCTGCTTACAAGATTCTTGTTGCTTTGGGTTGGAGCTCGTGGTGCTGAATTTGATTGGAAATACATTCAAAAAAGTCTTGAGTCAAATATTAACTTGGTAAGAAATTACTATTTATATTTTGTGGGGAAGAATCAATACAAATGCAAGGAAAATTTAACTTATGTCATTTGTTTTTAATAGGTACAACACATAACAACTGCAACATTGGTTTGGTTATGGTCTAGACATGATTTACAACGTGGTTTAGTTCCTATAGTAATCAGTATGCTTGTACTTACAGTGTACAGACCTCTCATGTTAGATTTTCTTTCATCTATTTTATTAGCTGGTCCATGGTCAACACTTATTATTAAGGCCATTACTACCTTTTTTATAGGTGCAACAACGTTGCATATTTATGCAGGTCTGGCGCATTCAATTGGAATATTCTAAATAACATAAGAATTTATACATTACAGAATTTATTCAATGATATACAGTTGTATTAAATAATGCTTTCTATTTTCTAATAATATAAATGTACATTACATAATAAATGCGTTATGTATTTACGTTGCATTATTTTATCTTCATAATTTTATTTTATATATTTTATTTTATATATTTCAGTTCATAAATTTCACAATATGAAAGTCTGATGTCAACTATTATATCCAATACAATTTTGTGAAAAACATAGTTATTTGCCAGAGAAAAAAATTTTTTTTTAAATAGTAAATTATACTTTTGAAATGAAATTTGTTTTTAAGTGTAGAAGTATCAAAGAAATATTGATTTGTTTGATTGCTATAATATTATAAAAAATGACTGTATTAATGTTTTGTTAAATTTATGAATTTCTGTCATATTTTTGATCTTCTCGATATTTAAAATACTAATGAAATATACTAATGAAAATAACTACTTAAAATTTACGCGAATAACGCATTTTTATTTAAACCTTTTATTCAAAATATAAAATAGGAAATAAAAATAATGTTTTAAATTTATCATTTTATTAAAGTATTATTAATTATATATTTTTATAAAATTTTTGCTTTGTATATATATATATATATATATATTATTTTTTTTATTTCATATATATTCTTATTTGAAGAATGCTCTTTGAAGAACAATGGCCGAACGATTTGTATCATCTCACTTTATTTTTTATTCTATAAACTCAACTCTATTGCGGTTAATGGACGTTAGTGACCGCAGGCCTGTATACACATAGATATTCGCGATGACAATTATTTTAGAGCTCGCTAAAGGCTTTTGTGAGAAGCCTTGATTATTTTGAATTTGAAGCTAAGCCAAAGCTAAAAGGGGCACACTATACTTCCCCCTCCTTTGAAGGCATGAATAACTTTTCGGAAGAAAGCAAAAGCTATTCTTGATTAATTTTATAATGAATCCATAACTTTTTCAACATGTGAATGTTAAATTGGCACTTGTAAAAATATGCAATACATAATAAAAATTAAAGAAGCTATTGATATAGAAAATGATTTTTTCAAAAATCCTGTATCGACTTAAAATTCCTTAAAAAAATATAATAGTTTATTAATCCTGTTAATTCTTACAAGTATGTAAATCAGAAGCAAAGTGTGTTTTCCCTTATACATGTTTACTGATTCATCTTAAAATTATATAGTGAAATTCCCATTTTAACTATCAACTGTATAGATATGTTAGAAGAACATGATATAAATTTTCCTTGTTTTAATAGCGGAACTAATTTTAATTTGGAAATAGCAGTTTTAGTAGCAGACCTAAGATGATTCATGATAAAGTTTTCTCAACTGCTCAGGGACATGACAGATCTGTCTACAGACCTGCTGACAAGTTAGTCCATCCAGTTAGTCCGATATGGCATCATTGACAATGCTGGAATTCAAATTGACCATTAACTACTAACATACATTATAGCAATATACTCTCATAAAGATTGACGACATATGCATATATATGCAAATAAAACTGTGACTTCCCCCGTAATTTCGCAAAATTTTATTTCAATTAATATACAGTAATTATACATTGATTACATTATTACATTACATTATTTTTTTTAAAAAGAATGTAATATATCAAATTTTTCTTAAATTAAAAATTGCAGGCAAAAAAATACATAAAAAATTACATGTAAAAAATTACATTTCAGTGATATGTAATAAATTATCTGCTTTTGAATTGACAGTTTACATTTTTATAAATTCTCATTTTGCAAAGTTCATTAGATCATGCATGACCTCTATCATGCAACTGAATTGCACTTATCACGCATTGAGATACACATTTGTACTTTCCCCTTATCATGTAACTAAGCTTGACGTTTACTTACGTAGGTGTAATGAGAAAAATGTGATCTTCCGTGGCATCATTATTTACGAGTATCTTATTGTAAACAAGATGCATATAGACAATCTGCATTTGATTGCCAAAAGTTCTCAAATTTTACAAACAATATGCTAACAAAACAGCTTTTAGTTTTTAAAAAATTTATGAAAAAAACATGTGCTAAAAAAATATAAACTTTACATCAAAAATATGAATTTAAAATATATAATAATTATTATCCTTAATAATAACATGCAATAAATAAATGTCAAAATAAGTTCTTTTTTCTTAAATAATAGCTATGATATTTTTATTTAAATTTCCTTTCATGTTAAGTTCTTTGATGTGCATGGACACATTTACTTATAACTGTTTCGCAAACGATGCTTATAGTAAAAGTCTGCTCTTGTATACCATTATTTGATTATTTTATGAAAATTATTTTATGAAAATATTTGCAAGAATGTTTCATATATATTTATACATATATTTACGCAAATATTGCATATAGGTGTGTATAAGTTAAATATATGTCAGCGTTCTAATATTAATCCATAGTATCTACGTAAGAAATTTTCTTAGTAACAGTCTTCACTTTTCTTCACTTAACGTTATTTGACGCGACAGGTTCCAAAGTTCACGTTTTGTCTATGTGAAGAACTTGTTCCACATATTGGCGTATATACACGTGATGTAACTCATCAGGTCAGGACATTAGTATCATCATCCGGTATCTCTTCATTTAACTCAATGACGCCGAATACACGCCTGGATGGTCGATTGCCAAACGATTACGTGAAAATAGAAAAAACAACCATGGACTTTGAACGCATGATTCGCCAAGAAAAATGCGAGCTGGTTTCATCAGGCGTTAACGTATGCAATTTATGATACTCAAATATGTATTAGAGCATTGTCAACGGAATAAGCTAGCAAGTTTATCGTGCAATAGCACTAGATAAAAATTAATTAATAAAAGATTAATTAAATATTCAAAAATTATTGCTAATCGGAAGTTCAAAATACAAAGTAATACGTTAGTAATAATAAAGTTGTTGAAGTAAGAGATCAATATAGTAATAAAAGGTCGGCAAAACTGACTTCATAAATATAAGATAAGATTTTTTTCGTTTTTCACGACAGAAAGTTCACGTTAGATAATTTTCATTGTTTAAAATTTTTGTCACGGATTGATTAACGACTACAAGGAAAAACGGATGTTCGCCCATGGCGCGCAAGTTGGTCCGATATCATGGTAGAGGGGTCAGCTGTTCTTTCATTGGTTCTCAAAACGGAGTTGCTCGCTTGTGGGTTCTGATCGATGCTACTAAAAGCCGTGGTGAAACCAGACTTACTAGTAGTCGGAGAGCCGAGAAGTGCATATCGACCAGTTCATCTGCAGAGAAGTCTATTCTTGTCTAAATGAGCATACTTATATCATCATCGTGATAGAACGTGTTTTCTGAAAAAGAAGCTGAAAAGTTGACAAGTTTACGAGAAGTCCCGAGCAGCATCAGCTAAAATTTTTAATACCGCTGGTATTAAACGCCTACGTCGATAGCATTTCGATCGGAGTCTTGCCGAAAGGGAGAAGAAACGAGTGGAAGAGAAATCGAGATAGGAAAGAAGTGTTAGAGTGATCACAACAGTAACCTCGACCCAAAGCCTAGAATCTCGGAGTAGAAAAGCGGCTGGTGAGATCAGAGTGAGGCGCCGTTGTTACTATGTAAATTTTCAGTAGCGAGTATATCCGTTTGCGCGCGCGCACTGTCGCCAACGAGCAACGACTTACATTAGCAGCAACGACAACAACATTATCGTTAACAGCAGCGAGAGAAACATAAGGGAAAGAAAATCGCGCGAAACGCCGCGAGCTAAAGGCCTGATCTTTTCTCTGACAGCTTCCGAGGAAGCCCGCAAACTGGCTCCGGAAGTGAGGATCAAGCAAATTGGAATGAGGGAGGACTTGCTATCTATAATACGGCACACAAGCAGCGATCACTTCTCGGAAGAGCTTTAGCCGGGAGCTTAACTAGGAAGTAGACACGCAAAAAGAGGAGTCAGGCAGGCCGGAGAAATAATTCGCGAGTAGAGTATTCGCGCGATAGAGTAGAGGCTGTTCTTGCTTGTTGGGCTTTTTTTTAAAGCGACTGGCTTCGCATCGGGCTTTCTTTTGTTCCGAGAACTCCTCGATATTATTTTTTAATCGCTCATATCTTCGTCATTGTCAAAAGAGAAGAGAAAGAGAAAGGGAGAAACCGAATATTCGGAAGACCGGTTGATTTCCGTAATTCTCCGGGTTTCTCTGTTATGCCCTGGGTCGCCGCATGTTTTGATCTGCTGGCGGCTCCGTTACTGGGTTACTGTCTCGCGATCAGAAAACTGGCCCTACAAGCCGGTCTTCTGCAGGAGAAAAAAAACGAGCTCGCCGTGAGGCAGACGTCTAACACGGAGGCACTTTCGAACGCTGACACTACAACCATTATGGCTCCTAACGCGGAAGAGCAGCGTCAAGGTAATATTTCGCGCGGGGTGAGTTGCTTGATGCCGAGGGATGTGAAACGTCTGCTTACGTAATATGTATGTCTTCTTCGTGTCTTGCTGTTTTTAAATACTCGCTTTTATGTTATGAAAAAAGACTTACCTAGTGATAACTAAGTATTTCAGAGAGCGAACGCCTGTTTCATAGAATTATGCATAGGATACATAATTCATTAGATAACATCAGACTTTTGATTGCATGATAATATATTGTTATGTAATCTTCAAAAAAAGGAAATAAAAATCCAAATAAATTTATATTACAATTTTAACACTCAAAATAATGTATTTTTATTATTTATCTTACATATATTTATATTGTAGGATAATCAAGCTGTATTGTAAAATATTTATTGTAAATAAAAAATAAGCATGTCATTAAAAGATAATTATCAATTAAATTGTCTGTTAATGTAATTGTTTTTATAATTTTCCTGATTTATAATTAACTAAATTAGAATCGTATTGTAAAAAAGGTACTAACATAAATTTCCTCGATAAATTTTCTATTAAATACATTGTGCAGTCTATGTAACTAACACAAGTGGAGTAGCTTTATTTGATCAAATAATAGACCTGCGTTTTAAATAGCTCCTGCGACAATAGTAATGCATGCACGCATTTATGTTACTCGCTGCTTATTGTTACAATCAACATTGACTGATCCGTTTTAAAAGCATTTCAAATAAAAATTCACTGCATGTTGAGGTAGACAAAGAAAAACTTGCAATTTATGCCTTTCATTTTTTTTCAATTTTTGTTTGCAAAAAAAGATGAGTACGCACATAATATGTAACAGACAATGTACTCTCTATAGTAGATTTTTCTTACTTATGTTAGAAGCCGGTTTAATGAAAGGAAATGAAAAGTGAAAGGAAAACAACGATTCGAGTATTGAGGTCGCCATCTACAATATCACCATCCTGCTCATCTTACGTTGTATTCATGCTCCTTTATTTATTATTTTCAGCGTAAAATTAACAACGAAAACTTCACATCGTTAAAATGTAGAAAATATGTGTAAATTTATATGTACTGTTATTACTTTTAAGAGAAAGTAACTAACTAAAATTGTAAATAAACATATAAATAACATAAATGCATTTCATTTCGTCATCATTTTCATTACCTTACACATTTACATTTGGCTTTGACAAATAATTGATACATCTAAAGATAATTAACTTTTGTTTTACATAGTCTCGACTTTCTTTTTTAAACACGTTAATACAAATTCAAGGATGTCCAAACAATTATTATCTCCTCAGTGTATGTTTCATTTTTATTACATCCACATATTTGCGATACTCTTCTCGTATTACAATCGTCATTATTACACATAGTGTGTATCGGATTTTCAACTTTATCTTAGAATATAATTCTGTAAATCGATGTTACATATTGTCGTAAAAAATTGAATATAATGAAAATATGTTACAAAATGTTTTTGTAATAAGTAAATTATATGCGAATGTAAGCATTGATTGAATGATAATATTTGCTTTTCATACGTAAAACGTCAGTGCTTCGTGACGTTTAATTTTTACATATGCAACACACACAATATATATCTACTTTTAATTATCAATCATATTAAATTAAAAAACTAAATAAAAAACGTATACTATATTACAAAAAATATATAAGTTTTAAAGAATAAAACTCTGATAATAGAAATAATAGTTCTATAAATAGTGTTCTATAATACATATTATATATGTATCATAATTAACATTTTAATGCATAAATGAAGTAAAATATACAATAATATTTTTTACAAAATAATTAAAAAACTAAATATATTACATTTATATATTACATTTTGAGACATTAAGTGAATTATGTGAAAAAAATTTTTTTTCCTTCTAAATGTCAAATATTATATGTCTGCAAATATATGTGTTATTGTAAATGCTTATATACTGAAATATATCTTAAAGTTATCATTCTGGCATTGAGAAATCGATAACTTATCATTATGTCAGGAACCAAATTGTATTCGTCTCTTATCTCTTAAATTATGCAAGTACAGAATATTTCAACATTGTTCATTTTTTTCATATGTAATTTTTTTTATAGATATAAGAAAAATCGTAGAAATACTTGGCATTAATCATTACAAATTTTTAATGATTAATGCCAATTATTTTTACGATTTAAAATTTTTAAATATTAAATCATATCGAATATATTAAAGTTTTGATTCAAATTTCTGCTAAATAATCTTTATTTTTAATTAATTAAAAAAAAAGATTTCATAAAGTTACTTAAATTTTTCACTTGATATTATAATATGTAATAATATATTTCTAGTTAATATTAAATACTTTTTATAAAAAATTTTTTATATAAAGTTTCAAAAAAAATAAATTGTTCATTAAATTGATTAAAAGATTAAAAGATTAAATATTTTACTATTTTTTAAATGATAATGTTATAATACAATTGTATTTTCTTGATTTGTTTAATATTTATTATTTTTATTAATTAGTAAATATATTTTAGTCACATTATACGAAATAATATTATATATGATGAAAAAAACTTTTTTAACTTGCACATGAACGATAAATTTCATGACGCGCGTATACAAAGTTAAGTATAAATTTTTATCTGTTGATATCATTGATTAGATAATATAAATCTGAACATAAGGGATAGTCTTTATAATTGTGTGTTATCATTTTCAATTCAGATATGGGACAAAAAGATAAGTTTATTATATATGAGCAGACAATGCTTTATACCTTTCGTTATTTTCGTTTTGATTGCGTCAACTGCAACGATAATTAATCAATAATCATAATAATGATTATAAAGTTAACAAATTAGTCTACTAATTAGATATATGTACAGTCTAATTAATATATATGTACACATTATTGAAATATTTTAATATTTGAAATATACAAAATATTTCAAAAATACTTGATAGTGATAAAATATTTTCTTTAGTTGTAAGATTTAAAAGAAATAAAATAACTACTTTACTTTAGTTAAGAATAATTGGAATTTTACTGCCTTTGAAAGGTAAATCATTGTTGGCTTCAGTAATGTATGAAGAAGCCGAAACAAAGCTAGTGCACACGCATTTACGAATCTAAATATAAAACTCATTCCCAGTAAGACACGAGACGTCATATACATATATTCAATTGCTCACTCATTCAACGTCACAATATATTCATTAAATATATATTAACAAAGTTTACAGAACAATCACACACAAGCATTCTGATTTTTTTATCGAATATTGCTGTTATTCATAACTTTTGTTTTGTAAATCTTTAACTTTTATATCTTTATAAACAAATGTATACAAGATAAGATAACTTACACGTGCTTCCTACGCACATAAATTAATAAATTAAATATTGATGTTATTTATTTGCTTATAATTGTAAAATGATTGTAATATTAATTGTTATTTGTTTTCTATATACGTTTTTTAAAATTGCATATTTTTTGTAAAGTAATTGTTTCTTGGTTTTTGCTACAATAAATCTTTGTGTGATTTATCTACATTAGACATTTGGAAACTGAAATTGACTTTTTATTTTATATTGATTAATCTACTTAATGATTGTACATTTTTGTTAAAAAACTTGTGATTTAATCTATCAAATATATTCTACGAATGTTTCTGAATCATTGAGTTAATTGCAATCTTCTTTACAAACACATGTAGCTTTTTTCAAAGGAAAATGAATTCATAATGCAAAATTATTCGTGTAATGTTTCATGTACACGGCATATATATGGCCTGAAGTACTTCATACAAATTACATACTTTTGTAAATATGAAATGCAATATAATTCAAATTAATGAATAATGCAATATTATACTTTATATACGCTTTACTTCGAATATATTATCGAGTATACATTTCTGTAACTTTCTTAACTTATCTGTCACGAATATTTTACGACTAATGTTATTTTCAAGAAGAACGAATTTTAGTACTATATTGCAGCAAGTCCAAAGTCGTTTTCGTGATGTATATACCATTCTCATGTTACTGCTGCTCGAATCTGTATGCATGACGTATGATCAGATATATTGCCAAATATTTGCACTAGTTTAACAAAATGCTTTATTCGGAGAAGTTATAACTAATAATATTATATTTAGTTATTATTTTATAATTTTTAAAAATTTTATTGACTGCATTTCAAGGTAAATATAGAGAAGAAAATACTGAATACATATCCTTATCATCCTCATTTTATCCTTCCTTATATCCTCATTTCCTAAATTTAAAATTTTCTGAAAAATAAATTTAATCGAAAATAAAATGTGATTTTTTTTCATACATTATCAATTTTTGTATAACGTACAAAAATTTTGATGTTACAAATATTTATACATTTTAATATACATTTAATTACACTTGATTTTAATTATATTACCAATTATAGTAACACAATGGGTTAGAATAAATACTTATAATCATGTATGAAATATGAGAGAATTATGAAATACATTTATTAAATCCAAGTTAATATTTGTAGAAATTATAATAAGCGCAAATGGAATTATGAATATTTCATTACCTACATATTCTGTTTAGATTCCGGCAAAGAGAAAGTCGCAGCAAGAATCTCAGGAATAGCGAAGCCATCGCGCAAATTTGTGGGAATCGTCATAGCCACTTGCGGTTTACCGGCTCGTGGAAAAAGTCAAATCGGACAGAGCCTTGCTCGCAGACTCATTTGGAATGGCATAACCACAAAAGGTAAACATCTATTTAATGTCTTATAAGACAAATGTTTAACAAACCTGTTATATGAATAGAAATTTATCACATATTAAAAATATAAATTTAATTCTTATTCTTAATTAAATATACAAAAGTTTAAATGAAGAAGAATTTACAAATAAATAATATATCTTGTTTCAGTGTTCCGCGTGAGTGATTATCGAAGAAAACGATTCGAGTCTCATATATCACACGAATTTTTCCGATCCGATAATGCAGCAAATAACACTTTAAGGGCTCTCGCTCAGAGAGATGCTATGCAGGATTGCGCGGCATGGCTTGCATCCGGAAATACTGTAGCGGTAAATATCCGGAACATTGATAATTTCTTCACAAGATTATTAGATTATAAAAACATTTAATGCCACCTCTGCGTTCCCCAATTATTTCATTGTAAAAAGTATCATAAGCATAATGATTGATTATATTTCATCATTTTTAGGTAGCTTCAAAAATACAATATTGCATTGTTATTTTCTTCTTTTGTTTTTAGTTGTTGGATGCTATGCTGATTACACGAGCACAACGTACAGAGGTCTATGACTACTTCTCCGGTCAGCTCGGTTATCGTGTTCTCTTCATCGAATGCGTCTGCGATGATTCTAAAGTCCTAGAATACAACCAACAGGAGATCGTAAAACATAGTGCCGATTATACTGGGGTAGATGCTTCTTTAGCTATGGAAGATTTGCAATCAAAAATTGCTTTTTACACTGAACTGTATGAACCTATGGACGACAAAGCTTATCCCAGAATCAGAATCAACACCGCTACCATGGATCTCGAGACTTGCAAAGTATCCGGTCATATTGAAACTAGAGTGCTTGGATATCTTGGAGACATCAGCCTCAAACCCCACACTCTTTATTTCTCAAGAGTGAGTAGTTGTCATAGATTTATTTTATATTAGTTGCGTTAGGGAAGCGCACTATCGCATTATTTTATATCTTTACGTTTAATGAACAATAAAGACAAAATGACACAGTAGCGCTGATAGCGCGTTCTCCGAACGCAGCCATTGTAGTAAATAACTTGAAGAATCTCGTAGTTATATCCACTACTTTTACTTATTACATTTTCTATTTTATTTTGTGTTTTACATTCTTTCAATTTAAATTTTTGTATTATACATTGCAGCATGGCGAAAGTGAGTATAACGTAGTCGGTAAGGTCGGTGGCGATGCAGTATTAAGCGCCCGAGGTGAACGTTATGCTCAGGCTTTATCAAATAAGTTCAACGCTATGCGTATTCCTGATCTTCGGGTTCTCACTAGCCGTCTTCGTAGAACGATTGCAACGGCGCGGGGTATTGAAGCCCCTCAGGAACACATAGCCGCTTTGAATGAACTTCATGCGGGAGTATGCGAGGGCCTCTCTTACGAAGAGATGCAGGAGCATTATCCGCAGGTAATTGTTATTTGTAAAAAAACTCATAGAAACAGAATTTTAATTGCCGACTAAAAATATTCAAGCTTCGTGTTATAGATTTAAGTTGAAGCAAAGTTCATGCAGTTAATTTTTACCAGAGATCAGACAAGATAATCATAATAACATTATGTTAAACCCTATAATGTTACAACAGGAGTTTGCTTGGCGTGATCAGGACAAACTACGTTATCGCTATCCGTGGGGTGAGAGTTACATCGATGCGATGCAACGTGTCGAGCCGGTGATCGCCGAGTTACAACGTTCCAACAACGTTCTTGTGGTGTCACACCAGGCAGTATTGCGCTGCATCATCGGATTTTTCCTTGATAAGAAACCCGAAGAGCTACCCTACATGGAAGTACCGCTGCACACAATAATCCGTATCACCAGCCAGGGTTACAATTACAAGCTCGAGTTCTTCAAGCTGCCGATCGAGTGCGTAAACACGACTCGTGTTAAGCCGACAAACTGCAGCGGTGACCGTACTGCTGCCGATGCTCTTATCACGGTTCCAGCACACTTCGACATACCGGATCCTTGGAGAAATCCCGGCAAAGGGCCTACTCTCGTGCAACAGCATTAAGAGAATCAATACGTCTACTTCAAAAGTGGCATAAATCGAGTTTTATAATAGTTTGTTCGCTAAAGAAAATAGTAATTTGATACGATGAGCGAGTGATGATTTTTTACTCTATCAGAAATCAATTGATGAAAGAAAAAATAAAATGAATAAAATAATATTATTATCAACTGATATAAATCTTAAATGCAACACATTTTTCAAATAAAGATTGATAAGATGATTCTTAAATTCGATTTATGTTACAATAGAAACAAGGGATTTCTCGCTTGCATATATTGGCTATATAGCTCGCGGCGCTATCAAAAATTGCATAGCCCTATTTGTTTGTAATTTTGAACATGAGTGATTTATTATTATTAGAAAAGGAAATTAAATCATTATCATTATGATGGTTCTTATAGTGGCAAATATACGAATCGTTCTTACAGTATGTTACGTAGTATGTCGCCACGATACGTTTATTTAATTTATTTACAATCAATATACAGACGCGATAGAATGCAAAAAATATTTGCTCTGATTTCACAAGAGTTTTTTTGATATAATAGAGAAATGCACAGCTTTTGAAGCATAAATGTCTTTAACACTTGATTGACAATGAAGTTTTGTAGACATCTTGGATCGATTTGATAGGTTTGCGACATCCAAATAATACCAATAATATACGTCTTTTTAATAAGTAGCAATTGAAAGCCCATGACCGAGCCCTCTACATATCGCGGGACTCACAGTTTTGTCAATAGTTATAGCAATTGTTATAGGTTCATAGTAACCTCGTGGTGACTCATGTCATAAACAGATATATTATCCGCCATGCTAAGCATACGCACAGATTTGTGTATAGAATGGGCAGGAATTTAAAATTGAAAATTGTTTGTGATAGAAAAATAGTAACGTATAGATACTGCCCATTATAGTTAATACATATAAATCACTGTATTTTCCTAGTATCTCAGCATTTTTTAAATTTCTTTTTCTCACGAAATATGTTATGAAACTTTTATTCCATACTGTGATTGTTTCTATCAAATTTATGATCTCTTTTATTATATATTTTATCGTTTGAGTGCCATCGAATTTACGATTGTGTCGAAATAAAAATAAAAGGAAGAAAGAAATATCAGATATTTTTAGATGAGTTAGTAAATGTAACGATTGATTTTTGATTTTGAAACAGTTATACTTTAGTTATCTGGCCTTTTATATGGAACACTAGAACATTTTAAGACCTTATATTTTTATAAAAGATAGATATAGATATAATTATAGCTACTTTTTTGTAGCATCTAATTTGTTTTATATTTTGACCAGCAATGCAATATGTTTACAATAATTCATAATTTATAGTAATTTATAGATATCTTATTAATTATATTATTTTATATATAGATAAATAGAAAAATTTTGCAACGAAATGGATAATCGAAAAAGAATTCTAACATTGAAATAGTTCGTAACTTTTGTCAGAAACAAAAACTTTACTAGCTTATTATAGACTAAAGCTATAATAAATTACAATTGACTACAAACAATGAGAAAGAGAGCTTATTATTTTGATAAACTTTTTAGCGATCTAAGTACAGCAATTATCATATACAATGATTGCATAACGCATAACTAATAGATTGTTTTATGACTACATCTTTTTATTAAAATAAATTTTTTGTTATATATATTTGTAAATTAGGTTTGTTTAATTCGATATGTCATTTTACAGATTTATTAAAATGTGTATTTTTAGCATGCATATAAATGCAATATGACATACGCAGAGGTGACATTTGATAATATATGCATTTTTAATGATTTAAATATATCAATAGTAATTATATTAAATGCATAAAATAGATTTAAAAATTTATGTAATACCCTGCATGAGTTTATTATAATTTTCATGTAACCAAAACGTTATTCCGACTAAATAGAAAAGTTTTTGTGGAATTAATATACAATATTAATATACAAATTAATATACATTGTTGATCAACTTTATCGTTATATTTTGCTAGGATAGTTTATTGCATAAACACGCATAATATTTGTTTAGACGTAAACATGGTGTTCTTTAGGATTCAGCATGATGCTAAACTAGAAATTTGACATTCGTGTTTGCAAGAATTAGTTCAATAATTTATTTGCTTTAGGGAAAACAGTTTGCGTGTGTTGTATGTCTTCCTTCTTAAGAGAAGTCGATATAATCGATCTTCCAATGTTTCAACTGCTAAATATTTTATAACTACACGCCGCGAGAGTGAATTATAATTTGTAATATGTATATTATATAATTAAGATATATTATTCGTAGTTTAGAATCTATAGAATTTTTTATTTGTACTCTGTGAAAAAATAAATTTTTTTACATAATCTTCTCTTTTCTCATGTTAATTATGTAATCAAATAAAATATTAGATATATGATAAAAACAACACAAAAATTGCATTATAGAAAAATCCAAAAATTTAACAAAAATTCCAAAAAACACAAGAGATTTCATTAAAGTTTAAATCTAAAACGAAAATATAAAAATATTTCAAGTTTAAAATTTAAAGTACAAAAGTATTTAAAAATTCGAAAACAAATGTTTTTTTAATTTATATGAATTTAAGATAAAAATTAAATTAAGCACAAAAAATATTATCTGATCAAAAAAATATTCCCTAGAAAAACTTATATTTCAGTCTAAATTAAAAAAATCAACTTAATAACTAATTTAGAAGATAAAATAAATTATAATTATAAATACAATAATTTCAAAAATTAGAACCGTTTTATTTCTTTCTTTTATTTTTCTCTATAAGCAAGATATGATCGTATTTTCAGCTTTTATACTATTGGAATAATACAGTTGAGGGCATATATAAATATAAATATATCTAAATATGTATATAAACAATTATAAAATAATAAATAATTTTATGAAATAATCATGCAAACTATGAATGACTAGTAAGTTTTACATATATGACTAGATAGATTTTCATAAATACTACGAAGACTGAGATCGACTAAAAGAAAAACATTGAGAGACATTATTTCGAGTTCTAGTATACAAGTCTAGTATACAAATTTCAAAATAATTTGACAATATTTTTGGAAAATATTTTAAAATGTAACCATATAATTACATTTTATGTTTTATGCTTATATAGTTCGTTATCAATGAATAAAGAATATATCAACATTATTTTGTTACGTAAAAAGAGACATCATAAAAGATGTATTCTGAATTTTCATCATAATTAATATTAATGTGATGCACTGTTGAATAATATATATTATTTTCGGGAATTTTCGCCACTCAATCTACCCCCACTCAAAGGTGTCGTACGCAGTACTAAATACCTGATCTCATTAATTTGGACGTATAGTCTCTTTGTTTAGCAGCCAAATGCAAATCCAGACTTCTCAACATTCTTGCTCGAATTTCCTGTGCGTTAGACTCCCGTTTACGCAAATCACTCGCTTGAATTCCACCTCTCGAATGCAACGATTCGTTTTGTTGAAAATTGTCGAGTTCGACCGTATTTAATGAGGAGGATCTGTTTTGTGATTCCCGTACGATAGTTTTCATGAATTCAAGGGCCATTCTCCGGCAAGTATCGAAACCTAGTAATTGTATCCTTTTACTCTGCATCACATCCATACGATAATTTCTCCAACGTGTTTCTCTGTCTATTGTTTTAGCAAGCGAGTTAGGTGTTCCGGGTAGATCTTGAAATACTTTGGTAAGTATCTCCTTTGTTAGATCTTCCTCGCTACCCGATGCGTCTATAATATAATAGAAATATATTAATAATATAAATTGATGATTATTAGTTCGTGATTGTAGAAATTGTTTTATACAAAAATAAGAAAATAAAAAAATTATATATTATTTCAAATATACATATATGAAAACAAAACTTTTTAGCTAATTTTGATTATAATTTTTGTTTATAGGATTAGGCCTCTTACAATTTAAGAAAAGAAAAGAAACAAATAATTAAATTAAAGATACATATTAATAAAAAAATTAAATTAGTTTTAAATTTGCTACTATTTATCAGTAAATTTTATGTCATTTAATGTGATATTAATTTGCAGCATCTATTAATAACCAATATCTTTTTCAAAGCGGAAAAGCAAATAATTTATTCTATTTCATATATCATATAAATGCCATAGGATTGGAGTCATGTCACATTGAGAATCACGTGTGAATTTGATAAGATTGCAAATGCAAAGATATCTTATCGAGAACGGTTTCATACTACATCTAGCTACATACGGATTGACGTCGATATTTTTATATGGAATTTAATACGGAATTTCACGCAAAATTTTTCAAAATATCCATGATAATTAATGTAAACTTGAATTCTTTGATCTTCATTGATTTTGTTTTCAATATCGACAATAAATAAATCGGCAATAAATCTCCTTTATAAGAAATATTATTATATCATTATTATTATTCATTATTATATCTGGTTGCATAATTAATTATTTTAATATAATACTAAAAAATTTGTTGCAAATATATTGAACAAAGAGAACAAACTTTTTTCAAAATTTTATGAAAAAATAAGAAAGATTTCGAGTCTACGCTACTTTTTTCTTCATTGTAGAATGTTGCAAAAGTTCTGATACGGGCGTACATGTTACGCAACGTCTGAAGAAAAATTAAGTACGAAAAAAGTTTTGCGTTACCCAGATCACTACTATTATCGATTTCTGGGATGTATGTGCCTTCCTTGATTTCCTGTTGTAACTCAAGGACTCTTGCTAAAGCCAACTGGAGATATTCCTTTGTATTTGGATCCTGTAGAAAGATGAGATACACATACTCGAATAGTACACAAGACATGCTTTTATGTCATATTAAATTTTTCTTAACTTTTATTTTATTTTTGAAACATTAAATATTTTTATTTACCATTATTAATAATTATTTACTAAGTTCCATTATATTTAATATTGTAAATAATTTAAAATACTAAATGTATAATACTAAAAATAAACTATTAACGATATATGAACAATTCTTTTTATTTATATGTTCTGTGTGAAAATTTAAAAACTATAGTATATATATATATATATATATATATATATATATACATGTATTGGTGTGTGTGGATATACGTCAGCCCTTGGCATAATTGAAACGCTTTGTTTCGTATAAATCGGCTAGAACGATTTATCTGTCAAAAGATAAACTATCAAATACAGTTATATTGTGATTGAATATATGTACAAAATAAAAACTTTTTATTTTTACGATCTTTTTAATTGATTGTACCTAAAATAATAGAATTTTTTCCTTTGTTTAAATTTTTTTACATTATATAAATATTAAAAAAAGTAAAAATATGCATAAAAAAAATTTTACAGAAAAAGTTTTAAT